TACCAGTCCTGCCTTTTTTGGGTCAAACCAATGGAAAAACTTTTCACTAAAATTCCAAACTTTGTCTCTCATTCTTAAAATCAAATAAAAGGAACCCCCATACCTGATCACCCCAGAAAGGCATGTTTTGCCTTCTGTCCAGGCCTAGGTCACTCATATTCTGCTTTGAAATAAACCGCATTAATTATTATTTTTGCAGAGCTGGTAATTTACTTATTTATTTAGAGAGGTTTCTGCTATAGGGCACATGTGCTCGCCAGAAAGAGAGAGAGAGACAAAGGCAGAAAGCGAGAAATCACCTCCCAGGAGAAATGGCCACACCACAATCCCCTCTCCTCCATTCTTCTCTTGGGATCTTGGGCACGCAAGCAGGCACACACCCCCTGGTGTGAGTTTAAGTCACTGGGTCTGAGACTCGAACCACAGTTGACTTCGTGGGAGTCCAGCGACATAACCATTACACTAACTGCTGGTCCCCAGAGTTGGTTATTTTCATCGACAAGATCATGGCTCTGTGGCTTAGCTTGTTTCTGGTGGGGCTGGCCATGCTCAGCTTTCCTTTCCACTCCTCTGTCACGGCTGCAAGCTTCACCGGCACAAGAGCCCTGGCCCACTTATTTACCAGTACGTCTGTCCCCTGCCTGGTGGTCAATGCTTTGTTTAGTAGCCAGGCTCCATTTTAGCCTGCACCTTCCACTTCTCACCTTAATCCTTCTAGGACTGAACTCTAATGGGAGTGGCATCCCAGGCCGATTAGACTGCTCACTCTCGGCGGCAGGCTTGGCTTCAGGAGGCTGAGAGCACATCCTGCCTCAGGAGCATCCATTTTCTAAGCTCTACCCGATTTGCCACCTGGCTTGCTTCCTTCCATCAAGCAGGTGCACAGAAACGAGCTGTCCTGTCCAAGCCTCAGGGGCGGGCTGAAAAATGCCTGTATTGTTTTTAAGTTTATTCATTTATTAAGATATACAGATTGAGGGACCAGCAGTTGGTATAATGGCTATGTCGCTGGACTCCCTCCCATGTAGTCGACCACAGTTCGAGTCCCAGACCCGATGGCTTAAACTCACACCGGGCGCGTGTGCGTGCGTGCCCAAGATCCCGAGAGGAGAATGGAGGAGAAGGAACTGCGGCATGGCCATGTGCCCTGGGGTGATTTCTTGCTTTCTGTCTCTCTGTCTCTCTCTGTCTTTCTGATGAGTACATGTGCCCTATAGCAAAAACCTCTCCAGGAAAAAAAAAATACACAGACAGATTAAGAGAGAGAGAGAGCCAGCTGCTAGCATGGTGGTTAAGGGGGCTGGATCCTACATGGCTGACTATGCATGAGTCCTGGATCTGGTGGCTTGAAAAACACATGGGTTGCAGATGTGTGCCCCAAACCCCAAACAAAGGAAAGATGGAGGAGAAGGGATGACAGTGTGACTGTGCCCCATGGGGAGCGCTTTCTCATTTTCTCTCTCCCTCTCTGTGTCTCTGCCTCTCTCCTGTGAGCACATGTGCACTCTTGGCAAATCAGAAAAGAAAAAGAGAGAGAGAGAAAGAGAGACCCCTCTCCCCCAGGGACCTCATGATCTACCCTCAGCCTCAGGCAGCCTGGGTCATAGGTAACGCACATACTCTGTGTGCTCAGGGAAGTCCCAGGACATGAACCCGGACCTTCCCCATGTAGGTCCCTGGCACCCAAAATGTCTGTGAGGTTTGCTGGCCTCCTTCCTGCTGCCCAGGTCTCAGCAACTGTTCCTGACTCCTGGGCCTTCCCACACGTGATGTGGAGGGCGGAGAGGGACGTCCTCTCTGCTCTAGGCCACAGGACAGCCTCCCATGGGCTCTCCCTGCGCTCTGCACCCAGGACAGTGTGCTGGGGCATCCGGGCTGTTTGGGTAAGGAATGGAGTCTTTCAGCAAATCAGCTGCTTCCGTCCCAGCCCTGCCCAGTCCCCTGTGGAGAGGGCAGGTAGCTGTCAGAAAGCTGGCCATCCAGAGTCCTCCCTATGTCCTCCCCTAGCCCTCCCTGACCCCTCCTCAAGCCCTCTTAAAACCCCAGGGAGTGATCAGCAGATGGCGTAGTAGTTGAAGCACCCAGTTCCCACAGAGCCAGCGTGGGGAAAGACCCAGGCCGGACTCCCACATGGCTGACCAAAGTTTGGGTCCTGAACCCGCTGGCTTCAAAATCATACCAGGCACATGTGTGTGGCGTGCCCAAGATCCAGACAGGAGAATGGAGAAGGGATTGTGGTATGGTCATTCTCCCTGGGAGATGATTACTCACATTCTATCTCTCTGTCTCTCTCTGTCTCTCTGGCGAGTGCACACACCCTATAGCCAAAATTTCTCAAAAAACAAACAAACTAACTAACTAACTAAAAAAACTTAGGGAGCCTTTTCCTCTCCTATCTACTCTGCTCCCTCCTGGTCCAGTGGCTGCTGGCCTGCTGGCTTGCTGTCTGGCACTCAGGAACCTCTGCCCCTTTGCCCACAGCTGGGCACCGGCTCCTGCCCTGCTCTGTGGACATGGAGCACCCCAGACCTTCAGTCCTTTGGAGAGGAAGCAGAAAATGCATCCACAGCTGCACCCAGGTGTGAGGATTAATTTGAGTGGGAGACACTTCTGGGTTCCTCCTGGTCATGGTCCCCAGTGTTCCTCCAGACAGGGGACACTCTTCACCACCCTTAGGAGTGGAGCACAGAGAGGGTTCTGCCTTGGCTGGAAACCCCATCACCTGCAGCTTCTCTGCGCCTGGCATGTCCCAGAGAGCACAGAGAGCTTGCAAAGAGCCAGCCTGTCCTTGGGGTGCAAAAAGGGCTGGCCAGTCCCTCCACGCCCCTCTGTCAGCCTCAGGCAGCCTGGGTCATAGGTAACGCACATACTCTGTGTGCTCAGGGAAGTCCCAGGACATGAACCCGGACCTTCCCCATGTAGGTCCCTGGCACCCAAAATGTCTGTGAGGTTTGCTGGCCTCCTTCCCGCTGCCCAGGTCTCAGCAACTGTTCCTGACTCCTGGGCCTTCCCACACGTGATGTGGAGGGCGGAGAGGGACGTCCTCTCTGCTCTAGGCCACAGGACAGCCTCCCATGGGCTCTCCCTGCACTCTGCACCCAGGACAGTGTGCTGGGGCATCCGGGCTGTTTGGGTAAGGAATGGAGTCTTTCAGCAAATCAGCTGCTTCCGTCCCAGCCCTGCCCAGTCCCCTGTGGAGAGGGCAGGTAGCTGTCAGAAAGCTGGCCATCCAGAGTCCTCCCTATGTCCTCCCCTAGCCCTCCCTGACCCCTCCTCAAGCCCTCTTAAAACCCCAGGGAGTGATCAGCAGATGGCGTAGTAGTTGAAGCACCCAGTTCCCACAGAGCCAGCGTGGGGAAAGACCCAGGCCGGACTCCCACATGGCTGACCAAAGTTTGGGTCCTGAACCCGCTGGCTTCAAAATCATACCAGGCACATGTGTGTGGCGTGCCCAAGATCCAGACAGGAGAATGGAGAAGGGATTGTGGTATGGTCATTCTCCCTGGGAGATGATTACTCACATTCTATCTCTCTGTCTCTCTCTGTCTCTCTGGCGAGTGCACACACCCTATAGCCAAAATTTCTCAAAAAACAAACAAACAAACAAACAAACTAAAAAAACTTAGGGAGCCTTTTCCTCTCCTATCTACTCTGCTCCCTCCTGGTCCAGTGGCTGCTGGCCTTCTGACTTGCTGTCTGGCACTCAGGAACCTCTGCCCCTTTGCCCACAGCTGGGCACCGGCTCCTGCCCTGCTCTGTGGACATGGAGCACCCCAGACTTTCAGTCCTTTGGAGAGGAAGCAGAAAATGCATCCACAGCTGCACCCAGGTGTGAGGATTAATTTGAGTGGGAGACACTTCTGGGTTCCTCCTGGTCATGGTCCCCAGTGTTCCTCCAGACAGGGGACACTCTTCACCACCCTTAGGAGTGGAGCACAGAGAGGGTTCTGCCTTGGCTGGAAACCCCATCACCTGCAGCTTCTCTGCGCCTGGCATGTCCCAGAGAGCACAGAGAGCTTGCAAAGAGCCAGCCTGTCCTTGGGGTGCAAAAAGGGCTGGCCAGTCCCTCCACGCCCATCTGTCACCACTCTCAGGTGCACGAAGATTCTACCCAAACCAGGTGCTTCCAGAAGGGCTTGCTCGCAGTGCCAGCCCTCTCCTGCCTGGGTGCCCTCGTCACTAGAGTACCCAGGTTTGCCCACTCCTGGGCCTGGCACCAGAATCACTGCTCAAGAGGCTTGCGTGGAGAGGGGACCTCCCAAAGCCTCACTCCCATCTACATAAGCTTCCTGGGGCCTGTCCCAGACCCACAAGGACTGGCAGTCACTCAGCTCGGAGTGCAGCCTCTCCTCCTGGAGACCAGTTCCCACACAGCC